AGGAGTAGGAGTAGTAAGTAGTAGTAGCAATAGTAGTAGCAGTAGTAGTAGTAGTAGTAGTAGTAGTAGTAGTAGTGGTAGTGGTAGTGGTAGTGGTAGTGGTAGTGGTAGTAGTAGCGGTGGTAGTAGTTGTTATTGCTACTACTACTACTACTACTACTACTACTACTACTAATGCTACTACTACTGCTACTGTTGCTACTACTGCTACTGCTACTGCTATTGCTACTGCTACTGCTAGTGCCAGTGCCACTGCTACTGCCTCTCCTACTACTACTACTACTACTACTACTACTACTACTACTGCTACTGCTACTGCCACTTCCACTACCAGTACTAGTGCTAGTACTAGTAGCATTACTAGTACTAGTACTATGTCATTGCTGCTGCTGGCTCCCGCCACTTGCTGTTCGACCCGAGGTCCTAAACTTTCGAGGCAGATCTTTCAGCGCGTGAATATGAGAATTTAGTCAGTACAACTGTAGCAGGAAAGGCCCGGTGCTTGCACAACAGAAGCAGCTCATCGTTTGAGACCCAGTTTAGAACCTCTCAGGCGCAGCTCGCGCAGATGTTGAAGACGCTGGATGCGTCCTGCAAGGCAAGGTGGCACGATTTTCCAAAGTTGGTCAGACAGGAAGAGGCTGACAGGCTGAACTGCTCAGGCCTCGACGGTGAGCGAGGTCATGCAAGAGGTCCGCGGCTTCTTCACTTTGGGTCACCTGCTCTATGCGTACGCGTACCTGCGGATGCTTCACTACAAGGCATGGCCAGCGCCCGTTCGCAGCGAAAGCTAGTCATGCAGCATGCGCTGTCGGCTTGGCAAACACATGCTTTCGTTCGAGGCATGCGGTCAGGGGAGGTGGGCAGGGCAAAGAGGCGAAAGTGGTTGGAGCTCCTATGATCCTCTCCAGCTAGATTCCTTGGTGTGTGTTGGTGCTTCGATGCTTACTTACTCTACAAGGCAGTGGGGCGGGGGGGCCAGCGGATAGCGCAGAAGAGAAGCGAGGATGGACGGAGGAATTCCACTCAAAGAACCCGGGCCCTTCACTTGTAAAGTTTCATCTCGGCTGTCGGTCTGTTGCAATGTTTGGCCACAGGATCCCAACCTGTACTACGCAGCTCTGTGGCACGATCCGGCCTTTCTCTTGCCGATTGTGTACACACCTACAGTTGGTGAAGCGTGCCAGAAGCCGCTTGCCGAAATGAGCGCTCAATTCTCGACATACCCGCCTCACGCACAAGAGCAGAAGAAAGGACTGGAAGTGAACCCTGAGGTTTGGCCTGCTTCCCTTCTTCCCCCGCGGCTGCTACGTCTCAATATGCGACTGCGGCAAGGTAAAGGAAGTACTGCTAGAATACGCAGAAGCCATGCTCACAAAGGATGAGAATGGCAAGTTCGAGTGCCAGTGCATAGTCTTTTCGGATGCAGGGCGCATCCTTGGTTTGGGAGACCTCGGCTGTTGGGGGATGGGCATTCCAATTGGAAAGCTCGATCTCTACACAGTCTGTGCCGGCTTCAACCCGTACAAGACGGTGCCGGTCATTATCGATGCAGGATGCACTGACGCAAGTGGCAATTCAGCCAAGCTTACAATCCGAGACCATGAGCTGTACACAGGACCAACTAAGATGCGGGTCCGTGGTGAGATCAGTTTCACTTGTTTGGTGTTGTCTCGTGTCTTGCTTGCAGGATTGAAACAGGATCGAATGAAGCACGAGGATGCGCAAGGCTGGGCCCTAGTGCCAGGCGTGGACTCTTCGTTTCCTGACATCTGCCCCTGCCCTGTTGAACTAGCTGCTAGGTGCCGAAGTGAATACTGCTTACTACGGGCCTTGCTCCCTCATCGGCGAGTTCATGTCTGCAGCAGCAGACATCTTCAGCCGAAAATGTTTACTTCAGTTCGAAGACTTCAATACAAACGATGCCTTCCCGCTGCTGGAGGCCCGGTTCAGCACCGAAGAAAGTCCTCGGGCAGCCCCACTTCATTCCGGCTTTCTTAGCTTCAGTGCAGAAATTGGTTTCCTGACGTCCTTGAACAGTTCGGGCAAGCGTTATGCATTGTGCACAAAACCACACTCATGCGTCCCACTTCCGCTGATTCTCTCTCTCTCTCTCACTCCCTCTCTATTCTGTCTCTCTGCCTCCCTCGCTTCCTCTCACAGCTTTGACTCGAGAAGATCTTTCCTTTGTTGCTTGCGCCATATCCTGCAGTTGTTGTACCACCCCTCAGGAGTACCGGCACAAGTTCCTGAGCTACAACGACGACATCCAGGGCACCGCAGCTGTTGTTGTAGCAGCGGTGCTGGGTGGAATCCGGCTTCAGAAGCCAGGTATCCTGGCCTTGACCCCAACCTGAAGCATGCAGCGAGATACTGGACGACAACGAATGTCGAGTGGGAGTGGAGAAAGTAAGGTAGGTCGTGTTTGGAGACAAGGGCAACTCATCCAGTAATCTGCATGTGCGCGAGGCAAAATGTTCGATAACCCGTAAGTGGACCACTAGAGAGATGAGTGGACAGATCTGAAGACTGATAGTAGGACAATTCGACACCATGTTCAACGGGTAAAGGGTCGAAACAAATACTCAGAGCCGGGAGGTTGAACAAATCACGAGACTAGACTATATTGGCATATACGGATGGTCATGTAGGTGTCTGTTTGTATATAATATATAATACATGTATACACACCTATATATATATATATACACATACACATACATACATGCATACGCGCATAGTACTCATGAGCAAGCCAGTGGAAAATCCAATACATATATTTCTGCCTGCCTCGTGCTGTCCCTCCCTATATACATGCATATGTATATGGGTATGAAATGATATTAATATGTACCTTATATGTATATAGTGAAGCCAAGAGCCCGGTCTTGCAAAGCAGAACAAACACGGACTCTCAACTGTTCGGCTTCGCGAGTTTTAGCTCCTTTCCAGTCCCTACGTGTGCCCGCGTCCGGTAAGCCCGCAGGGCAGCAACCAACAGTACTATCGTGCACACATGGCACACCTAGATACACAAGGCACTTGAGCCAAAAGCTATTGGCAATCGAATTATGATGTACGAACATGCAAGAGACAACCTGCAGCTGCACTCGTACAGGCACTCACATGCACTCATGTCAGCTCACAATCGCCCCTCACCCGAGGCTCCAAGTGAGTGACACGTCGCGGAGGGTGAGAGTTCTAGCCGACGGCAAGGGCGAAGCCCGCACGACACACGAACGCACGCACGACCAGCAACCCTTAGCCCTCAACACAAGCAGGCGATGCACAGTCTTCAATTTGGCAGGAAGGGGTCCAGGCTCCACGTCCCCTAAAGGCCCTAGCTGACAAGTGCCTAGAGTACGAGATGCATCAAGCTGCGGCTCTTTCACTATACAGCCTAAGTAGGACCGCTACGCCTACCCGTGACTCACCGGCTCCTGCCGCTGGCCTGCGCAGTCTACACTGTATGTACAGGCCGCGACCAAAGGGTCCGCTGACGAGCTGCACGGCTCCATGCAGAAGCCTTCAAAGGTGCGAGCCCGCCAAGGCAACGCAGAAGTCCAGCAGAGGACTGCGACGGCAAACTGCCCGCATGCTAGTCTACAACGGCTCACAACAGGTGCCGACTAACACGCCTGCAAATTCAGGCTGCGTGATGCTCTTCGGCATCGCGGCAAGCTGTGCCCGCGAGCTGCGCCCACACGGGAGCACGCGAGTCATTCAGGATTGGGGCTCTGCGCAATCTGCGGCAAAAGCCCGCTCGCAATGCTGGCTGCATCCAGCAGCATCTCAGCACATGCACAAAAACGCTGTTAGAGTGTGCATAGCACCGTTGGATTTTTATCGAGAATCACTTGGATGCAGAAACGCGCATCAAGCGTTCCGCCGCTCTGCCGTTGCGGCTGGAATGCCGGCAGACGTCGCGCCGTTGCGGCTGGCACGCCCGCAATGGCCTTCGGAACTGACCCAGGGGCACGGCGCGCCGCGGAGGGGCACGGCGCGCGGCGGAGGGGTCATCCAAGCAATTGGCGACAGCCCACAGACGGTCGTACTCTTCCACCAAAGCAGCGGCTGCTTGTGCGGCACATGGAGGCCAAGACTCCAGCCTCCGCGTTAACCTTCCAAGACCCGCACAGCAGCTCAACGCCTTCGTGGCCTTTGCATGGTTCCCGCGCAAACCATGCCCAATGCGCGCTCCTCGTCCGTCCGCTGCATAGGCATCTCTCAGGCTGGTGCCCGAGATCAAGCGGACTGCCGTCCCGCTGGCAACCAGACGTTTCAAGGACTGCCACTGCAGCTTAGTGCTGCGGCATTGGGCCCATCGAAACTGTAAGCTCGAACGAGCAGAGTCTCGCCAGAGGCCGCAGACCCCAGGAGCTCCTTGGCGGCGTACGGGTACAGTACCGGTCGCCGCACAGAAAGTCAACACCGACTTCCGCACGGAGTCCTTCCTGCAGCGCTGCTTGTTTCTGCGCGGGGTCTTCGGCACCACTGCCGTTGGCACCGTTGCCGTCGGCGGCAACGCCAAAGTTGGCCCACTCGACAGGGCTTCGGCCTCGGTCACACGACCCGCAAGGCCGTCAAAGCATCAGAGCCCCCGGCTTTGAGCGACCAGGCCACTGAAGCATCCCGTCTCGCCTCCTCCAAGCGCGGCCTTTCCCAAAGCTGAGCAGACCCCGCGCGCTGCTGCAGCATCCGGTGGGAAAGTGGCCCTGCCAAAGACTTGGTTAGCGCAACCTCGTGAGAGGAGGTGTTCCCGTTGCGCAAGTGCACCAAGAAAAGATCAACATCTGACGTGTGATGAAGAAACAGGCATCTTCTGACAATCTGGTGGTTTTTCTCAACCTTCACTGGGATTGCTGTTGGATTGGTTTTTGCCTTGTGTAATTTGATTGGGCTAATCTGCCAATGTTTGCTTTGGAAGGTCCTGTAGCCTTTACGCCTTCGCAGAACATGTGGGGGGCACCTGGAGAGCCGGGGGGGGGAAGGTTCTTTGCCTTGTGAAAGACAGAGAGAAAGTGTGTGTGTGTGTGTGTTTTCTCCTGGCAGGTCTTTGTGTCCCTCCATCTCGATCTATCCATTTCCTGACGTGGCTGTTTCCCCGAAAGTCTCCCGAGGTTGCAAGGAGCTAATCAAAGAGCTCAGAAAGACACGCGTGCTTTTCCATGGAGCTGGCTCCGCGAACTTGGGAAGTCCTTTGGCGAAGCATTGGCTCGCATGTTTGCGGCTGCTGAGAAGTGCGGAATTGAGGATGCCAGTGTAGGGTGCAGGCTTTCAGAAACTACGAGGAAGACCGACAATGCAGAGACTCGGCACAGCCGAGGCGCGATGCTGCTTCGGAGCGAAGCAGGAGTGCCCGCGGAGTCGATCCTTTGCACGCCGCCTGGCCACAAACCTGTTCATGGGCTTGAATGGAACAGACAGCCCAGCGCACCAAAGGAATCCCCAAGCCCGCGGGCACTAATGGACAGAGGAGCCCATAAGTTTTTGATACAGTCTAGAAAATCCATTAGTCGAAGTCGAAGCCGTTCGATGCCCAGCGTTCGCCCCCCAGCCCCCGACCGGAGACGCGAAACCCCAAGGAACTCCAAAGGCGTCATCTGGAAGTCAGAGAACGGAGCAAAGGGAAACTTCAAGAACTTTGAGCAGAAGGCCGCCGCCGCCATCGGCCGCTTGGTAGAAATGTAGAACATCTGCGACTGCGTGTATTCTACGGGTAATATAGAAGCATCGCGCAACACAGCATGGTCATGTCAGCATCGGATAGTCGAAACCGTGGTGCACGATATTTCTACATGGAGACGCTTTTTGCATCTTTTTGCAGCCTCTGTGAGTGTATATCAGAGTGGAACTTGCCCCTGTGATGGATATGCTGCTGGAATTGCAATGTATAGAATGCATCGACATCTTTTAGTCGCATACCTAGTGGATTGGAAGGTGTCCTTGAAATTGTAGTTCAAGTCTCCATAAGTTCTGCCACTCGGCCATCAGCACCACCAGCACCACCAGCACCACCAGCACCACCAGCACCACCAGCACCACCAGCACCACCAGCACCACCAGCACCACCACCACCGCCACCACCGTAAGCCCCAGCATCATATTTGTCATCATAACT